ACTGAGTCAGAATTTCTGCCTGGAAATTTACGTCTAACATCAAATCAGGAGACCTACTGTTATAATAAGGGTTATTTTAACTAGGAATACTTGGTGAGATTGTGTTCACTAGCTCAATCTACTTTAAGGATTAATTTTTCCTTTGTAATGAAGAAACATCTCAGATTACGTAAAAATCTTACTTCCCTTCAACCTTTCACCAACTAGTTTCACCATCTACGGATAGGTTTCATTGAAAGTATTTTTACTATGATAGTAGAAAAATGAAGATCCTGATCAATTTCCAGCTTCAAAATTTTGATAACCATCTCATGAAAGTCCTCAATATTTAACAATTGGTTCTAGAGAGCAGGGATGGATGTGCTCCAGCACACCACTGCAAATATGTCTATGTGAACGTCTGTTTCTGTCATCTATCCATCATTTACCTATCTATCATCTATCTCTCTATCCCAATACCTTCTGTGATGAAGGAAATAGCCTATTTCCTGGTTGAATATAGTAACCACTGGACACATGGGGTTGTTGGGTACTGAACAAGTGGCTAGTGCCATTGAAGAAGAATTTTTAAATATATTTAATTTTAATTAATTAAGATTTACGTTTAAACAGGTACATGTCGTTAGTGATTATCTCATTAAACAGCCAAGCTCTAAACATCTGAGAATATAGTGTAATTTCGATTAAGTTTAATAGGGCTCATGGTGACCACATAAAATAATTTGGTAATTGAATTTACTTACTGATGCATTACAGAAGTCATCACTGTTAAATTGCAACTCTGTAGACCCCTATCACACTCTTCTTGTATTATTTTTAGTAATGAGTTACATGGTTGGAAGGGGTTCCCATATTTATTTCTGTGATTCAGGTGTTGAAATGTCCTAATCCAGTCCCACCCAACCAGTTTGGAGCTTGACCCAGGTCAGCTTCTCTTAGAAGAAAAATCAAGAGGGAGGCCAACCTATAATCATGACTTTTGCTATGTTATTGCCATTCATCAGACGAGGGTCAGTCACCACCCTTTTGATGTTTTCTCTATTTCTGTAGTTTGTGTACATCCTGAGATAGTCCATTTTGAAGAACTGTGCCCTGTCAGATTTTCTAGTACCTGATGTCTTTCAAAGCTATAATCCTTGTTTCTCAGGCTAAGGTGTGCACACAAATCATCACATCTCTGGAAAGTTCAGATACTGAACTTCTAGGGAGATTTAGAGGGGTATTGAGATTCTGCATTTCTAATAAGCTCCCAGATGCTGCTGATGCTGCTGGTCCATGGACCAACTTTGACTAACAAGACTTTATCTGAGGCCCAATATTGTTACCTTTAGTTCTGTCGACCCTGTGTAGAGGGAAGATCCTTCAATTGTCCCTGAACTTAAGGCTTATAATGCTTGAAACAATACAATCAAAGATTTTCAAGCTCTGTTGTAACTACCATACTTTCAATTTCTCCTGAGGGAGAATGCTACCCTGTATTTTACATACAGCAGGAGTACTTTTGTGATTATCCAAGAAGCATACCAATCACACTGAGTATATCAGACAGAAATGGTCTCTCTGGAAATTACCCAGATGTGTTGGTGGTGAGGATACTATTATGAGAAGTAGATGGGCCACAATTGTACACACATCAAGATATATTTGTACTAGTACCATTTTGCCTTATTCTATCTCTAGAAGATAGACATCAGTGTGAAAACCACTCCCAATGGGATTCTGATTTACTTTTCCATTTTTATCACTGGGGATTTGGGAGCTCGCATGTGTTTTTCTTCCTCTAAACTGGGGTGTTCTACAGTGACATGCTTTACCTAAAATATCCTTTCTTCCCTTTCAGTTCTGTCTGATCTGGAGCTTGTGGCCCAGTCAATTATCTTCATTTTTGCTGGCTATGAGACCACTAGCAGTGTTCTTTCCTTCATTATGTATGAACTGGCTACTCACCCTGATGTCCAGCAGAAACTCCAGGATGAGATTGATGCGGCTTTGCCCAATAAGGTGAGTGGATGACAGCTACAGAGAGAAGGAGGAGGTGAAGCCTTAGCAATAATGCCTGCTCACCACTTCCTAGGAAGAGTTTTGCAAAATTTTATAAGCCTCGATTCTTCACTGGCACTACTAAGGAAGGCTCTAAAGAGAAAAACAGAGGGATAAATATAGGCAATGGATGCTCCTCTGGGAAATAAGCCATTTGTAAAACAGTGCTGGTCCTTGTGCATCTATTATGAGTTAATAAAATAATCTCAAAATCAAACAAACAAACAAAATTCCCCCCAAACCCCAGAAAGCCTCAGTGGCATATAACAATAACAAGTTTTTTGTTCACATGTCTGGATAGGTAGCTCAATAGGCTCTGGTCTGGCTGTTGTCCAACTGTACCTGGCCTTAAAGGCAATGGGCTGGTGGGCCCACCTCTACCCACACTTATCTCATGCTGCAGTCACAGAGCTAGTGGGGAAGAAGCTATGTAGCAAGCAGGGTGTCTGACTCCAGGAGAATATCTTAACTTCTATGCTATTGCCTCCAAATACAAGGCTAAGTGCTAGTGATGTGTTGTCTTGGCTGTTTTCAGCTCTCTGCCCAGTTGGGATTATTAGTGGTGTAAAGAGACCTGGCCTCTGGGGCTGCCTAGTCAAGTCTAACAGTGAGGTGAACACAAAGGGGTCTTCTTCAGAGTTACAGTCAAGCCCTAACCAATAAGTGGGAGACTGCTCCAGCAAGAAGATGGGGCAGAGTGTGCAATTCCTATCCTCTTTGTAGCTTTCACTGGAAGTGAAATTGTTTGCTCTGGGAGTTTCGAATCATAACCTTCCTTTCTCCCATTTGGGTAACAAAGGAATTAGTTTATTATCAAATTATTTATAGAGCTTCTTATAGAGTTTCTGTGTATATTTTGTGTATGTAATCAACAGGGTTATCAGCAGAACTTTCAACTAAAAAGTCTTACGTGGGCAGTAGTGGTCACATTACTGGTTGGACAACATGGCCAACAAGACAGGGTCTCTGCCATCAGCAGGCTTGTAGGGAAGGGTCAATAGAGGTCTAGACCCCAGGCTTCCTGACCCACCAGGCAGCGCCCTAACAACTTCACTCTTAACTTTGCTCACTAGTTAAAAAATGAAGAAGCATTAACTATTTCCAGAGTGCCCAAGCTCAGCTCTGTTTGTGTATTCCCAGAACAGCCTACTGGGTTGTCTCAGATGTCCAGAGAGCCAGTAACTGTGCTTTGGAAGAGCCACTGACAACTTCCCCAGTTGGCATTATATGGCAAGAAAAGGCACTATATGGTGATGCTCAGGATTTGAGTCCTCGGTAGAGAATGACCCCATTGTTCTCCTACATCCATAATATCTCCACAGTGTGGCATTGAGCAGGTCAAACACTTGATAGTTATTAAATGCCTTACGATGTGGGGTTCTTTACAAAAGTATTTCTTTCAATCCCCTAACACTTCAATAGTACTGAATACACTATGTTGATGGTCAATTACAAGTCTCCATCTACTCAAATGTGTTTATTTCTTCCCAGACACCCGCCACCTATGATGCCCTGGCACAGATGGAGTGTCTTGACATGGTAGTGAATGAAACTCTCAGATTATTCCCAATTGCTGGAAGACTTGAGAGGGTCTGTAAGAAAGATGTTGAAATCAAGGGAGTACTCATTCCCAAAGGAACAGTTGTGATGGTACCAACCTATGCCCTTCACCGAGACCCAAAGTACTGGACAGAGCCTGAGGAGTTCCACCCTGAAAGGTATGAAGTACCTGGGAGAGGGAGCCCACCCTGACCCAGCCTGGTTACAGCACATTCTGCAACTGTTAGTGTGCATGACAATCATGTGATGGCACAGGCATTTACTTTAAGTCTGTGTATTGGTTAAAATTTTATATTAAAAAAGTATTAATTGTGAAACTTTGTAAACCATTGATTAGTAAAAGGAAAGCTATTTCTACTCACAATGACACACCATAACATAAGCCTCATTAATTATGTAACATATGTCCTGATGGCCATTTTTCTCAATATATATAACTTTAAAAATCTATAGTGTTATCACATTTTATTTGTGTTTGAACTGCATCTTACTTTATGAAGGCATAAAACATACACTGTCCACTACTTTTTATTACATATTTTTGGTATGCATATGTTATAATTCATTTAACCCCTATTTTGTTTTAGAATAGGATTTTTAACTCCTTTCAGTTTTACTCTTTTCAGTTCTTGTTATTCTGTTTAGTTCCATGAATTTACATTAGGAGATGTTTCCACATTCCATTTTGTTCAACACCAGTTGCTATTTTCTTAAGGGCAATTTAAAAGTACAGGCTGAGAACCTGACAGGTCCTCATCCTTGATGGTTTAGCTGCTTCAGTGAGGACACAGGAGAACACAGGTCTTCCTGGTGCTATCTGTGGCCATAGTCCTGTGCCAGTTCTCTTACGGTCTCAGTAGTCAGTGGCTCTTCCAAAGCATAGTCACCAGCTCTCTGGACATCTCAGACAACCCAGCAGGCTGTTCTGGGAATACACAAAGAGAGCTGAGCTTGGGCACTCTGGAAATAGTTATTGCTTCTTCATTATTCTACTAGTGAGCAAAGTTAAGAGTGAAGTTGTTAGGGCACTGCCTGATGAGTCAGGAAGCCTGGGGTCTAGACCTCTATTGACCCTTCCCTACAAGCCTGCTGATGGCAGAGATCCTGTCTTGTTGGCCATCTTGTCCCCAGGTTGGCATGGGGTCTGCACATCTGTGTTGGAAAAGTAAATCAGAACTGACCAAGTCCTCTGTTCCCTGGAGCGGAGCGCTTGTGTGTTTCCCTAAAGCTCAGCACTTCAACCTCCTCCAGCTGTATAAACACAAAATCAGAGACCACTCCCTGTATGTTCCTTTGATTCATTCTGTCATCAAACAGAGAGTAAGTGGTTACCGACTATCAGGGACTAGATCAGGGTGTGAGAAATCCAGATGTTACCAAAAGTCCATTATGGAGAATGTCTTACAAGTATGAATATGTATCTATAGAAAGAAGTCTATAGAGCACTTTTAATGCATCTCCATGTGCATCGCCTGCTTAAGGAATGATCAATGCATGTCAGCTGCCCCATCCACACAGCAACACAACCATCCCCCAAACTTCTGTTTTTTGAGGCATTCACCTATAAATATCTCAGAATGCTCTTCAAAATATAAGGGCATTTTTTTCATTTAAAAAAAAATTTACTATTGGGGATGCATTGAGGGTACAGGAAACCAGGTTACACTGAGTGCATTTGTTAGGTAAAGTCCCTCTTACAATCGTGTCTTGCCCCCCAAAGGTGCGGCATACACCGAGACCCCACCCACCTAGCTCTTTCCCTCTCTCTGTTATTGTATAAGCGCATATTTTTAAACACTTTACCACAATATCATCATCACATTCCCCAAAACATTTTTCTTAATATAATCAAATATTTAAGAATCAACTTTAACAAAATATGGGTCTAACTTCCTATGGAACAGATAGATAAGGGAAGCTGTGATTATAGTACAGGAGAGGAGCATCAAATGCCCATGCAAATTACCTGACTTAAATTATTTATATTGGAGGAGAGAAAGAGAGGGAGAGAGGAGAAAAAGTAGAAGAATAAGGAGAAAAGAAGGAGGGGGAGACATTTAGAAACAAAACAAAGCAGAGGAGACAGGAGGAGAAGTAAAGGGAAATGAACAATTTAAATAGTGCCAGATATTTTTGTCTGCTCCTTCCCTAACGAACACATGCCGAGCATAAATATGACTTGAGGCAGGGATCTACTTTTTCATCATCAGTTTCATTTCTTATGTGCCTTTAAGGTATAAACACATCACCACCCTGAACATGATTTTAGTACTTAGAAGTGAGTTTTTAACATAGTGTTCATCATCTCAACAAAATGGATAGCACTTTTAGGATAAAAATGATGGAAAGGATCTATAGCTTATAATTTTTTATGTGTGTGGGTTTTTTTGTTTTGAGTATTTTTTATAATTTTTCAAATTAATATGAGGGTACAATTTTTAAGTTACATTGTTCTCACTTCCAGGGTAAAGTTCCATTTGTAGGAGAGCCCCTCACCCCGGGGGCATGTTATACACCCTCATAATGCACACATTAGGTGAGATCCTGCCTCATACCCTCCCTCCTCTCCCAAATATCCTTCCCCTTCACCCCGTAGCTTACAAATTTTTATAGCAAAATAATCATAGCTGGATTTCAATGATAACCCACATGAGTATGTTGTTCAGTACAGGTTGTGGGGACAGGAGGTTAAGTCAGAACTAACGTATGGCCTGTGTGGTTTTCATCTTATTGATGTTTCTACTACTGTGCATCCAGGTTCAGCAAGAAGAACAAGGACAGCATAGATCCTTACACATATATGCCCTTTGGATCTGGGCCCCGAAACTGCATTGGCATGAGGTTTGCTCTGGTGAACATGAAACTTGCTCTCGTCAGAGTCTTGCAGAACTTCTCCTTTAAGCCTTGTAAGGAAACACAGGTCAGTAAACTTTCTGTATAAATAATGCCTTATTGGGAATTTCATTAAGTGTGGAGTCTATACAAAGTAGTCCCTGAGTTACAAACATCAGACTTATGTATAATTTTGTACTTACAAACAGACACTATTACAGGTAATAGGTAAATGTACATGTTCTACCTTACATACAAATTAAACTTAACAACAAATCTATAGAATCTACCTTGTTAACCCAGGGACTTCTTGATTTAAAAAAAGAACATACTTGTTCATCTTTTTAGTAAGTTTATTTTATTGGGCAAATAATCTATTTGTAACTGTCAATAATCCTTAAGGGTGTTTTGGTTCTGTAGTTCAAAATGTGCCTTTATTTAAAGCAAACTATAAAAGTAACTAAAGTCAAGCATATTAGCTTGACTTAAGTATGTCCAGTCTCTTTGAAATGGACCAAGGCTTATATTCAGTTTTAAGTCAATTGGAAGGATGGGGAAATGTTTCTCACAGTCGTGCAGTGCTGTGATTACCTCACCATGACATCTGAGTGGTGCTATCCTTCACTCAAACCTACAGAAGCTGCCCCATGATGGTAGTTCTCAGCCACGGGTACTACACTGCAGTCACCAGGGTACTTTAAAAATTTACTGTGTGTGGATCATCTCAGACAATCTAAAACAATAGACCCAGAATGTGGCTTTAAATGCTTCCCTTTTGGTTCTTATTTGAAGCCAAGTTTGAAAATCACTAATCAAGGCACTGCTGCCAGACATGAGGATTACCACAGGGCCATCCTGACTGTTTGAATTCCTCTCTGGGTTGCCTACTTTATTCAAGGTTGGCTCCTTTTCCACCCAATAATAATTTTGTGAATGTTCTTCCCACTTTCCTTCTCATTCTGTATTCATCTTTCTTTCTTTTTTTTTTTTTTTTTTTTTTTTTTTTTTTTTTTGAGGCAGAGCCTCAAGCTGTCCCCCTGGGTAGAGTGCCGTGGCATTACAGCTCATAGCAACCTCCAACTCATGGGCTCAAGCGAGTCTCCTGCCTCAGCCTCCCAAGTAGCTGGGACCACAGGCACCCGCCACAATGAACGGCTATTTTTTGGTTGCAGCTATCATTGTTGTTTGGCAGGCCCAGGCTGGATTCGAACCTGCCACCTTAGGTGTATGTGGCTGGTGCCTTAGCCACTTGAGCCACAGGCGCCAAGCCTGTATTCATCTTTCAAGTCCTAGTTCAAACTACAATCCCCTCCAAGAAGTCTTCTCTATTCGAGGGTCCATTCTCTGCTCTGTTTTTGTTACACCAAGATATTATCACCACCTAACTTTATACCTTGTCATTAATCATCCAGTTTTCATCTGTATATTTTCTCTATATCTGAGAATACCTTCTCAACTCCCTTAACTGTATCACCTCATTTTATTCCTTTCATAAAATCAGAATGGTGTCTTGAAGAAGACATTGTCTACTGCAACTATTCAGTAACTGTTTAGGGTGATTTATAGTTTATTTGGATCTCATGAATATAAACTTCAAGCTATTTAATTTAAAAATTTAACAAATGACCTTTGTGTGTGTGTGTCCATCTGTCTGTCTGTAAGGAAAATATGTTAATTCATATGAAATAAAAAATAATAAGGTATTGCAGTTATAGAAACATTTGGGTTTTCATCTGAAAACCTGCAAAAACAATTGCTATTAATTCATATCAACCAAGGCACAGTAAGTATTATTTCCAGGAGTCATGCATTCCATATGCAACTTCTCCCTCACATAAGCTTTTAGTAGGGGAGCGGAAGAGGATGGAGATAGTTTCTACATTATTTGCAGCTATAGGGCAGCTGTGTAGCTGTCTAGTAAGTTGTACAGACTGAGCCCATCTCTGAGAGAAACCACGCTGCAGGCATGCCTGGGTGAGTAATATGCTCCCAGGCAAACTTCCAGGTATTTACAGACTGTTTCTTCTCAATCTCCATGACAATTTGTTTGCCCTATACTCTACTAAAATCAGAAGGTTACTCTGTGCTGGCTCCCCCAATATGGAAAGAGTGATTCGGTGAGAATTGTTCCCAAACTATTAACCAAAACACTGTAGAATGTGAGACGTTCCCCCATTTCCATAACATTTGAAAAAAACTAGAGAAGATAATTTTTAAAAAGTATAATACTTTCCCACATCAGATTGCATTAAAAAAAAAACCCAAATCAGCACATTGTACCCCACATATACATGAATGTATTCATGATCTATGTGTATTTGTTTTAATATAAAAAAATAAAGGCAACTTTCCATCATAATACTGCATGGTTTCAACTGAGAGTGGATACTGGATTGTTAAGAATCCAAAGACCACCCATATGATTGAAATGTCTAGTACCTACTCAGGATAACATTGCAAAATTCAACATACACAAAATGAATTGTATGTGGCTTTTTGAAAATAGTTTGTCATAATGCCTAAAAATTTGGAATAAATACAATTTGAAGACCATTCATTTCACATAATATTTAAATTAAAAAATATTTTAGCCAACATGAATTTGTCTCAGACTCATCACAAAATAGGTGCTTAATAAATATTATATCAATTGATTGGTGGAAGAATACTTCATTGTCTAGTTTTTAAACACTTTATCAAATAAGTATAAAGAATTCAAGACAGATGATGCTAAAAGTTTTTATAAACTTGCAAAGCATTTTTGACCTTAAATTATCTTTTCTGTTTTGTTTCTACCTTTATTTCATTTTGCTTCATTTATCATTTCAGATTCCCATGAAATTAAGCCCAAAAGGAATGCTTCAGCCAGAAAAACCCATTGTTCTAAAGATTGAGTCAAGAGATGGGACCATACATGGAGCCTGACTTTCCCTAATGAGATCTGCCCTGTTGTTCTGGAAAACTACATCTAAGAACACTAGAGAACCTGATTTACATTGTAAAGAAAACTCAGAAATGAAGAAGAGCTTAACTCAGGGCACTGGAGGAATGACTGCGGATTCTGTACATTCATTGTGTTGCCTCAATGTCTGTGAAAGACTGTCATGTGATATAAAGGAGGTGACTAAACTAATGCCATATATGTGGACTCTGCTTCTCTGATTCTCATAGGGCAACCTCCACCCACCTCTAGTTAGTACTGTTAACTCCTGCTTAGCTCTGATAAGAAAATAAACATTTCTCAACATTTTAGCAAGAATTTTGGATGAATGTGAGAATTATTGTGGTGACTTTAATAGTGGCATTTATAGCACATATTTGTAATGTTCTATAATAAATATTATACAGAGAAAACCAATACACATTTCTCTATAAAATATTATCTGATGGATTCATGCACATTAGGGAAGAACCTATAGATATGAATGACTGAGAACCAACAACTAAGAATGTTTCATCACTATAATCACTGATTCTGTGAGGCCTTTTTCAAAACTCCAATTTGATTATCAACATAGGTCAGAGTTAATCCACAGTGACTTTGCCCATTGCTTAGAAAGTATTGTCTTTTTTTTTCACAGTGTAACAAAGAGATTTTATTTAGGAAGAGCCAAGAGAAGGTTTAGACTACCCCCAAAGAGAGTTGGAAGTAGGTTTCTCCATGAAGGAGAAAAGGCGAGAAAGACCAGAAAATATTTTCGTAGTTTAGCTGTACCTTTTGAAGCACAGATCCTCTAAACATAAAATAAACATAGAAACAATGGATATAAACAGAACTCTAGACAAAAAGGCCTAGTAGATGTTTATAGACTATTTTAAGCAAAACTGACCAAAGAAACATTCTTCTCATCAGCTCAGGAACGACTGACCATATCCTACACCACAAAACATGTCTCAAAACATTTTTAAAATATAGAAATTACACCATGCATTGTCTCAGACCACAAAAGAATAAATTTAGAAATCCACTCCAACAGGAACACTCATTTCTACACAAAGTCATGAAAAGTGAACACCTACTAGGATAGTTGGCTCAAGCAGGAAATAAAAATGGAAATCAAAAGATTCTTCAAACTAAATAAGAAATGAGACACAAGTTATCAAAATCTGTGAGATACACCTAAAGAAGTCCCTAAATGCCTCCATCCAAAAGACAGAAAGATCACAAATTGATGATCTAATGAAACATCTCAAGAAACTGGAACAGGAAAGAGTGTACCAATACCAAACCAAGCAGAAGAAAAGGAGTAACTAAGATCATAGCAAAACTAGATGAAATTGATATCAAAAGAACTATACAGAGGATTCACAAAACAAAAAGTTGGTTGTTTAAAAACATGAATATAATTGACAGGACTCTCACTAGACTAACCAGAAAGGAAGAACAAAGGACTCTACTTAGCTCAATCAGATATGAAAAGAGAGAAATCTCTTCTGATACCAGGAAAATAGAAAACATCATCTCTGAATACTATAAAAATCTCTATGCCCATAAATGTGAAAATGTGGAGGATATGGGAAAATTCTTGGAAACACACAAACTCCTGAGGGTCAGTCAAGAAGAAACAGAAATTTTGAACAAGTTAATATAAAGTATTGAAATTGAAGCAGCAATAAAAATGATTACAATAAGTAAAAGTCCCAGATCAGATGGTTTCCATGTAAATTTTACCAGATCTACCAAGAAAAACTAGAACCTATACTGCAGAAATTATTCTGAAATATGAAGAGGGAAGGAACTCTCCCCAACTCATTCTATGAAGGTAATATCACCTTAATACCAAAGCCAGGAAAAGGCACAACAAAAAAAAGAAAACTATGTACTAATGTCCCTATGATTATACATGCAAAAATTCTCAATAAAATCCCAGCTGAAAATAGAAAAATTAATTGACCATGACAAAGTGGGCTTCATCCCAGAGATGCAAGGATAGTTCAACATACACAAATTTCTGAATTTAAATAACCACATAAATAAAAGTAAAAACAAAGATCATATGATTGTCTCAATAGATGCATAAAAAGCATTTGACAAATTCAGCAACCTCAAATCATAAGAATACTTGAAATAAGGTAGGCACAGATAAGACTTGTCTTAAAATTGTAAATGCCATATATGAACAACCTACAGCCAATATCATACCAAACAGGGAAAATTGAAAGCTTTCCTGCTTAGTACTGGAATCAGACAAAGTTGCCCACTATCACAACTTCTATTCAGCATAATGCTAGAAGTCCTAGCCAGAGCAGTCAGACAAAAGAAGGAAAACAAGAATATCCAAATGGGGAAAGAAGAGGGCAAACTATTGCTCTTTGCTGACAATGTGATCTTCTATCTAGACAACCTCAAAGATTCTGCCACAAGATTCCTGGAATTGATAAATAAATTCATCAAAGTCTCAGGTTCCAAAAACTATATACATAAATCAGTAGTATTCCCATGTCAACATCAGTCAAGCTGAGATCAAATAAAAGACTCAATAGCTTTCACTATACCAACAAAGAAAATACAATACCAGTAATTGTTGGCTTCTGGAGCAAGACAGTAGCTGAGTAGCAGCTTCTGTGCAACCGGGTGCAGTGAGATTGAGGAGAGAAGACTCTGGGCATCTTTGGCTGGTGGGATTTTCCCAGAAACTTCCCTTTGGTGATACAGGGAGGACAAAAGTGGTGGAGAACTGGCAAGTGGTAGGTGTGTTTGTTGGGTCAGAGGCTGCCTGTAACTGTCACCATAGCAACAGCAAGACTGCAAGCAGGAAAAATCTTATCTGTGGGCTGTTTTGGTGTTTTTGGACTAGGGCACTCCATTGAACTGCCTTTGGAGATCTTGAGTGGGTGTGCAGATGACTTTAGGCATTTTCTGGGGCCCCAGACTGAGCTGCTGAGCCAGAAAGGAGCTAATATCATTCAACTGTGGGCTGTCCACATAGCCACTGTCAGGGATCTGCCCCTGTGGGTCACAGCCCGGAGATCAGCCAGGAGACCTTGAGCTAGTAATCTAGTGATTGAGCTGCCCAAAGGTGGGGACTGAGATGCTGGGGAAGAGAAGAGATCTAAGTGTTTGGCAGATTACAGCCTTGGCCCTCAGGGGCATAGAGTGAGACAGGTTTTGGCACACTGGATAAGTGGGCAGCTATGCCAGGAGAGATCCCAGTGATAAATGCTTTCCTTGGAAAGCTTCTGCTTAGCCAAGGTTCACAGTTTGGAGTGTCTTTTAAGCAGGCTGAGGAGACATTTGGGCTTCCAAGCCTGTGGGGTCTAAGAAATCAGCAGAGGCCTCCAGTCTTCATCTCATATAGCTATATCAACATTGTGATTAACATTTCATACACCAGATCACCTGTTGCCTGCACACCATTCAGAAGATATATATATTGGTTTGGTTTTTTGGTTTGGGGGTATTTATTTTCTGGGTTTTTTTCTTAATTTTAATATTTTTCCTCTACATTTTCCTTCCCCCCCCCTTCCAGTTTAAATACAATCTTCCATTTTTGCCTTCTTTAACAATTAGAACTTTATTTTTGCTAGTGTTTCTCACCCTATTTTTTGCTCCCAATTTTATCTGTGTTTTTGTTTGATTTATAATATTTTTGTCTTTCCTCTCTATGTGGTGGAGGTGGGGTACTGTGTATGATCAAGTTGGCAAAGAGCTGCTGACCTCAAGGGAACCACACAACCCAGCATCCCCAGAGGTTGGGGGTTTTTAAGGTTGGATCAAAGTACCCTACTATACACCTGTATTACTCCTGTCTCCTTCTTTCAGTGCCTCTCTTCTTTTCATCAGTATTTCCTTTTACTCACCCCCTCTTCTTTCTCTTTTTTCTTTCTTTTAAAAATCTTTATTCCCTTCTTTCTCTTCAGTCTTCTCATCCCATACCAAAAGGACTCATTAAAACTTTAAGCCAGAGGCATGGTAACTTAAAGAGTAAGGAGAAGTGAAAGGAAAATTAGGGCAAGGAAACAGATACAAGAAAACACTCATGAAGAAGAATCACCAGAAAAATCCCCACAACATGAAATACTAGTCCAGAGCAACCCCCTCAAAGGACTGTGAGGTAGCAACAGCAGAGGATTCCATCTATAAAGAAATGTTAGAAATGACAGAAGGGGTATTTAAAATTCAGATGATCAAAACAATGAAAAATTGCTAAGAAATTGGAAAACTACCAAAAACAATGAAGGAAATTTCTGAGAGAGTGGAAATTAACCAAAAGGAAATAAAAAAACAGAATCAAACAAGAGATGAGCGACATGAAGAGTATAGAAAGGGTATAGCAGAGCTGAAGGAACTGAAGAAGGCAATTAGGGAACTTAAAGATGGAACAGAAAGTATCAATAACAGATTAGATCATGTAGAAGAAAGAACCTCAGAGGTAGAGGATAAAGCTCTGGGGATAACTCACATAGTTAAAGAGGCAGAAAAGAAGAGAGAGAAAGCAGAATGTTCACGGACAGAATTATGGGACTTTGTGAAGTGTTCAAACATATGAGTTATAGGTATCTCAGAAAGGGAAGAGGAATGCCCAGAGGAATGGAAAAATATTATAAATGAAAATTTCCCAAATATCACCAAAGATTCTGACACACTACTTTCAGAGGGATATCCATCCCCGGGTCACCTCAACTCAACTAGAGCTTCTCCAAGACACATTGTGATGAATCTATCTAAAGTCAAGACAAAAGAAAAGATTTTGCAAGCTTCCAGGAGTAAGTGCCAACTTACCTACAGGGGCAAATCCATCAGGGTGACTGTGGACTTCTCTAATAAAATTTTCCAAGCCAGAAGAGAGTGGTCATCTACCTTTAATCTACTTAATCAGAACAACTTCCAGGCCAGAATTCTATATCCTGCTAAGCTAAGCTTTAAAATTGATGGAGAAATCAAATCATTTACTGATATGCCAACGTTGAGGAAATTCACCACAAGATCAGTTCTGCAGGAAATATTTCAACCTGTTCTACACACTGACCATCACAATGGACCTTCAGCAAAGTAAATACCCAGAAATTAAAGGACAAAACCTAGCTTCCACAATGATGCAAAAGACAAAACAAAGCAATGGACTTTCACAAAATAAGATGAATGGAATGCTACCACATTTATCAATTATCTCAACAAATATCAATGGCTTGAATTCCCCACTGAAGAGGCGTAGATTGGCTGATTGGATTAAAAAATGCAAGTCATCTATTTGCTGTCTGCAGGAAACACACACTTGTCAAAAGACAAATTAAAAAACTCAGAGTTAAAGGTTGGAA